ATAATTAGTTTAAGTATGGTTGCTATATTTTGAATAGTTATAATCTAACATTTTCAAAAATACTGGTTAAATTTTAATTTTTCACTTATAGAAATGTGACAACTTAACACAACCTGAAGTTAAATATCATAATTGTTAATAAATCAAACTTTAAAGCGTTTATTACAAACTCGTTTTTCTATTTTCGTTGTAATCCTCTATCTTCAACAGATCTTCTAGATCATGACCTGCAAAACCCAAACATTAAAGTGAATAATAGATAACAGTAATCATACCCACAATTATGTATAAGAAATTAATAGTTTCACTTATACTAACATTTGTATACATTGGTTATCAACAAAAAATTGTATAAATTATTATTCTATCAAAACTAATTAATTGAACAAGAAAACATGAGTAGAAACAACCTTCACCGTAAGGAGTCTCCTAACCAATGTCGTTATTATTCACCGGAACTTGGTTTAGCTCTTTAACTCTTGACGGCTTTGTTTGGCATCACGAAGCTTATGTTTGAGCCTAAATTTTCGGTTGTGAAACCACTTGTAGACGTCTACGTCTTCGACTTCTTCACCAGAATTTTGAAGTTTGATTGTGATTCGTTTGATATCGGTTAGAGACGGGTTAACCGTACCGCCGATGAAAAGTTCTTCGAGTATTTGAGCTTGATGTTGATTTGGTTTCCATTCTGGTTTAGGGTCCGATACGACTAATTCATAAAATGGTGAATTGTTAGCTATCACTTACTATTTAAAATAATTTGATAGCAAGTAAAAAGTGTGTTATTAGTAAATGTAACAAAGAAGAGAAGAAGACATTCATATGTCATAGTCAAATCAAATATGTACGTACATATATTTGATGTAATTAAGAAATATATTCATAATGTTATATTTGTGAATTATATATATACCTGGAGAAGATGGAGAAGAAATGTTGCAATCAAAGTTTTGCATGAAAGATGGAGTATGGATATCATCTTGTTGGCCTTGATGATTCTGATGATCATGATCCTTATTAGAATTCCTGTTTGAGATAGATGCCATTTGGATGATGATGATGAAGAAAGAGATAGACAGAAGTGCTTAAGCTAAAGGCAAGAGGAACACCAAGTCTCTATCTCCTTTTATAAATCAATATATATAGCAATTTTCATCTACCTTTAATTACACGTTGCTTACTACAACTCATAGGCAAAATAATTAAAGAGAAATTAAAATTAAAATTAAATATAAAGCAAGGCATATAAAACACACAAAGATGTATGAATTGCATACTAAGTTGGTTGTAAATATACACGCATTACGCATACACATTCATAAAGATATTTATGAAAGAAACTTGAAGAAGAAGAAATTTCAACTTTTTACTTGTCCACATTCTTTGATTTAGATGATATACATAGTTAGTTGAGTTCAACTGAACAAAAAAAAAAGGAAAATATACACACGAAGCAATGAGATTGCTAAAGGTAAACAATACACATATTCCGGTGGAAAAAACAGAAAAGAAAAAAGAATGGTCTAATGGATTAAACCGTGTAATACATATTCATACGTGTGATTGATGAATCCTTCTCTCATAACTTTGCACACGAAAACTCTTTAAGATTGAAAGTCCTCTTCTCAAAACTTAGCAAAAGAAAGCTTTTTAAGAATATTTTTATTTAATAATCAAAAACTGTCACAATAATGAGTTTTACCTCTTTTTAAATAAGTGAAAAAAACGAAAACCATAGTGTGAAGAAGCATACAAATACAAGCATTCAAAACCTAAATAAACATTAAGCCCATACAAAACAAATCTCAAATAACGATTTAGCTCAAACATGATAAACGACAAGTTCGTTTTAGAGATGTGCTGCATCATACATTCAATTATTTTCGATTAGAAAAAAATACATCTTTACATAAAAATTTCAGTATTAATTAAACATATTTTCTAAATGGTTCGCCAAACTCTTTTTGGAATATTTTTTACAATATATAGAACTGTTATTTGCAATAATTATGTTCCAAGATAACTCAAAATATATATCCTAAGGGGCAAATTTTTCACGTTATTTTGTCCATATCCTAAATTTCACATATATAAACTCTATAACTTTCTATTTATAGGAGTCCACTTGATCTCTCACCTAGAGGCTAGAACATGCATTTATCTTCACCAGTATGTCTAGTCTACACGCATAAATGTAAAAAATAAACATATTGTCTTAACTTATATACATAATTTAGATTCATATTACTGTAGTAAAGAAAATATAGGATTTCAGATATCTTTTTCGATTAAGTTTCTTAATAGATATTCTTTTCTTTAAAGAAAACTAATAGATATTTTAGTTTTGTATATACTAGATAAATTATTAAACTATATTACAGAATATTGCCCAATGACGTGTGGAGTTTTTGTTGTTTTCATTAGGCTAAAATAAATACTATCATCTATAACACAGTGAAATATGTTGAGATGTTTTCCTTTGTATGGATGTTTTTAGCTTGATGTTTTGTAAGGTAGTAATTAAGAAATTTCTACTAAAAGATTACGAATTGCGTATGTTGAAATGCATAAAAACGTGGATGTCTATGTGTTTATAGAAATTGAAAGACACATATATATATATGAGTCACATCCTAGTGCAATTTTGAATAAAGTGGTCTGTAACTTTGAGTCGGTGGTTGATACAATGGATGGGAAAAAGAATTACATACAAATTTAGGAGTAAAACCTGTGTGCAAGAGTTTCCTAATCGAAAAAGTTATGATTTTAATCAAGTGAACACATAGAATAGGAAATATCTCGAAGACTTTTTTGAAAGAACAACATCAACATAGTGAACACATAGAATAGGAAATATCTCGAAGACTTTTTTGAAAGAACAACATCAACATAGTAAACACAAAACAAAATGTACCTACTTAAACTAATCGATCTATAAATAGAGGAGAGACATTCAATCAGTCAATAAATTATTTCATTTTTTTGTTCATATATATTATTTCATGTATCGATTATTTTTCAATAATATACGAGATATATGCTTGAATTTATGCAAAAATAACTTAGAAGAAAAAAATCTCAGTAGAACAAAGCTAAAATATTGATGAATCGTAAAATATTTCATGGAGAATGCAAATTTACCGTGACATCAGCTATAACAAAGGAAATTTCTAAAAATAGTTAACAGTATGACTTTTTTTAACGTAGGTCCGTGCGATATATAAGGTCGTTGTAAGGTATATTATAACAAAAGCATTTTTCAAAAAAACAAAAAAAATGGTATATTATAAGAAGATTTTGGCATTTAAATTATGTTATGGACTACATGTGCATAGAATTTTGCTCTTTACTTACTTGATGAACTCTATGAGTATTATAAGCAACTTGGTTTCTTCAGGGTCGATTTTAGCAACTTCCTCATAACCTAAAACTTTACAAAAACAAAGAAGTTAATTTAGATAGAAAAAGAACGAAAGTAACATTTAGTCTCCCAGAAAAACAATTATCGAGAACTGCTTAGTGACGTGCCTAGTTTCCACCATTAGGCTTAAAGACATATATACAATCTATAAAACGCCGAAATATGCTGAAATGTTTTCTTGTGTATGGGTGTTTTGTAAGGTAATTAATATATAATCAACTAATTTATGAATTAATAAAGAGAACCCATTAATTCCCTTTTTTTTTTTTTTGAACAAAACCCATTAATAAACCTAATTTATGAAATTTCAACTAAAAGGCAACGGATGATCAAGCATTTGCATGTCGTCAAATGAATGCGTAAGACGTGAATATCTGTATTTTTGTTATGAATACAGAATACTCATCATAGTGCAATTATTTTTGGTTAAAGTGTTTTTAAGAAAAGACAAATTAAAAAAAAAGAGAGTTGGTAGTTAATCTAATGGTTGAAAAATAAAGAATTACTATTTACTACAAATATATGAGTAAGCACTGTGTGCAAGAGTTTCCTAATCGAAAAAAGTTGTGGTTTTAATCAAAAAGAAACAAAAAAAAAAGATATCTCAAAGACTTTTGTGAAAGAACAATTTCAACGTATTAAAAATATATATAACTTAATACGCTTTTTTTAAAATAAAAAAAAAAAAAAAAAGTTTAATACGTTTTACCTACTTACGAGTAAAAGAAGCTTCAAATTAGTTGAATTTTTTCTTCTCCAAGTTTTTTTCATAAATATTTCTATGACTGTGTATTCGTGATGCGGGTATATTTATACTATATATAGTATGCAATTCATAGGTCTATCAGTCTATGTGTTGTATATCCCTTGCTTAACATTATCTTTTATTTTTTCCTTAATGATTCTACCGTCGATATTAATTGCAGTGAGAGAGAGACGCGTAATAAACCAAAAAAGAAAATGGTAAATATATTGATTTATTGATGGACGTAGAGATTTGATGAAAATGGTAATATATTGATCTATCTATCTCCTGCATCATCATAATGTCATCTAGCTAAAACAAGAATTATAATAAGGATCATGATCATCATAATCATCAAGGCAACACGATGATGATAATATCCATACTCCATCTCCATGCAAAACCATAATTGCAACATTTCCTCTCCATCTTCCGAAAGTATGAATATATATTTATGTATTCACAAATCCATCATTATGTATGTTTCTTAATAACATCAAATATACGCATGTATATACTTATACACATGTGTTGCATTTGAATATGATATATAAATATCTTCTTCTCTTCTTTGTTACATTTACTGCCAATAACATTTTTTAGTTTGCCATTTACTTAAATTCACCCTTTTATAAGTCGTAAAGATGTGTTTGAATTAACTATGATATACCAATTAAAGAATAAAACAAAACTTATAGTGGAATCTGTTTGAATTTTGATGATTTACCAATTAAAGTATGTGAAATATAATTTAAAGTTTATAAGATTAAAATTCAAGAACTCTCGGTGATAAAAATTTCAGTATATATACACATATACCCAAAACATTTTCCTTCATTCACTTTCATCAGAGCTAAGAAGGTCACAAATCTCCATCTCTCTATATACTTTTTTTTTTGAATCTTTAAGGGGAAAAAATGTCAGAGAAAATGATAGCTTACGGTGGTTCCAATGGACAAAATTTTGATGATGGTGTTTACGAGGGTACTTACGACGGTGTGCGTAAATTGATAGTTGGAGAAGACTCTCATGGTATCATTTACCTCAAGATCCAGTACGTGAAAAACGGAGATGTAGTGCTTAAAGAACACGGAAGAGCAAGAGGAACACATATTACAGAGGTTTGAAATTTCAGTTTTAATATTATTCATAATTCTCTCCCTCTATGATTTTTTTTTTGCTCTTGCTTTTAACTGTTCTTTTGTTTTGCTATGTTATTAAGACCGAGTTTGAAGTGAAGTGCCCAGACGAATACATTACGTCTATTTGGGGAACATACAGAAACGATGATCACAGATACAAATCTACCGGCGGGAGTACATCAGGACAGGTGTTTGTTTGCTTTGTTTCTTTAATCTCATTATTTAATTGTTCTGTTTTTTCAAAAATAATTTTTTTTTTTTTTTTTTTGCTAAATATTCAAAAAAAATTCTGATCTTTTACTTGCTGTGTTTTCAGCCCGATCATGTTGGCTATAAACCGTTGGATCGTCTTTGCCACAAAGAAACTCAGGTGTTTGTTGGCTCTGTGTATTAGTCCGATCTTCTTTTAGTTGATTTGTTTTTTAAGTACAATAATTGTTCTGTTCCGTAGCTCACTCCTGCAGAAAAATACGGCCTATATCTTGCTGCAAACATGGGAAGTCCAATGTATACGATTACAGTGTCAGAGCTTCAATTCAAAACATCGCACGGGAGAACCTCTGCGGAGTTTGGTATGCCAGGACCTCGTAGCAGAGATTTTGTTTTGGAGGGAGAAAATGGAACGAAGCTTCTTGGGCTCCATGGTCGTTCTGGTGACTTTCTCGACGCCATAGGAGCTTACTTTTACGTTGTTTCTTCAGCTTTTAAGCAGTTGGAACCTCAAGGTGGATCCAACGGGGTCTCTTGGGATGATGGGGCTTATGATGGTCTGAGTAAATTGTGTGTTGGGGAAGATGGTCATTGTGTAAGCTCCGTTGAGTTCCACTATGTTAAGGGAAACGACCGGATAACTCATTGTCACGGAAAGGATTCGAAAGAACGTAAAGAGGTATATATATATATGTATATCAGTTTCTTGAATTCATCTTCTTTTTCTTTGTTTTTTTTCTCTCTGGCTCTAATTAAGAGTCCGTTTTTTGCAGTTTGTGCTTAAGGATCAAGATGGTGAGTATGTTAAATCCGTGGAGGGAACTATCGACACAGATGGTTTCATCTCGTCTTTAACCTTCAAAACATCAATGAATAGAAGCTCTGAGAAATTTGGGACACCGGTTGGTACAAAATTCGAACTTGAGGCAAAAGGGTTTGATAAGATTGTGGGGTTCCGAGGAAGGTCGTCCGTAAATCGTATCAATGCACTCGGAGCAAATTTTGCGGTGGTGGTAGTTCCTCCGGTCAAGAAACTAAATGCAAAAGGTGGTGTCCTTGGGAAGGAGTGGGATGATGGAATTCATGACGATGTTCGAATGATAACAGTAAGATACGACGAAAAATCTGTGAAATCGGTCAAGTTTGAGTACATAAATGGACCTGTAATCGGAGACGCTCACGGAGACATCCATGAAGATGATAAGAAACTAGAGGTATATGCTTTAATCTAGAATTAAGTACCTATCTAACGTTAATATCAATATAACTTTGTTTTATCTTTTCTTTTTGGTTCTAGTTCAATCTCTATTTTAACAATGAATACATCACATCCGTTGAAGGACACTATGGTAAGAGGTTCGCACCTAATACATCCGCATCTGCCATTGCCATATCTTCACTTTTTCCCGCTTATATGACGATGCTTAAGTTCAGTACAAACCGTACAACATATAAAGTGTTAAGTCACAGTCCAGAATACACTTACGAGGGAACATCATTCAAGCTTGAGGAGAAAGATCACAAGATTGTTGGGTTTTATGGGAAGACTGAAGTTTCTCTCAACCAAATTGGGGTTTATGTCAAGCCAATCGCTAACGCTTAAGCTTTTAATTCTTTGCTTTGGTAAAATAAGTGAGAGAGAAAAAGCTATATATGCTTATAATCTCCTTAATTATGGTCTTATGTTGTCGTCATGGTTGTTATTACTACACGGTTTCTAGTATAGTAGTATCCTCATTAACACTGTCTTATGGTTCTTATGTTTGAATAAAGTAGTACTCTGTTTATACTCTCTGCTTTTATATTTTTACACTACTGATCAATTTTTCTTCAATAAATGTGTGTTATACATAACATGCAGATATATTATAGAATAATAATAATTTAATCTACTAAAATCAATTCGGTGCAAGAATAATAGGGCTAATTAAGGCGTGCAATGTCTTAAGAAAATACACTCTTTAAACTATTTGTATCACTACCCCTGCCAAAAAGAAGATTTATTTGTATCACAGCTTCGCTAATAATAAAGTTTAAACTAAAGCTCATTGTTGTAAGTATGTTACACTTTTAACTGAAAATCAACAATTCACAAAGTTGAAACATTTTCACCTATCAAGTTACGAAATTTCTTGCAACTTGCATCAACGTATGCATGCAACGAGCTACTTTTCATAAAATGGAAATGGGCTGTGGGCATCTGCCTTATTATTAGCTACTTCTACTATATTAAAATTGAAGAACTCTCTACAAATTTTGATCGCTAACGACTCAACTTGAAAACGTAACATCACCAAAATTAAGGTCACATAAACTCAACGAGTTTTTCCATGAATTTGTGGGATGAACTAAACAGAGGAAATAATCTTCATAAGCCTCAGTTACTTTTTTATATGGGAAATACCATTCAAAAGCTATATTTATTGTTTATCTTTGCGGAGTGCGAGCAACAAGAGACAAAGGTTTGTGGATGCAAAGTTTCCCCTGGAAGAATGAAGAAAAAGATCCACATAAAGGTTAAGGATTCGAAGCTGTTCTTATTGGTTACTTCATTGTTCTTAAAGTACCCTAAGTTTACTGAAACTGTTCCTGGTCTCGTTGTAATATCATGATCAATTCTGCTGCCTTCTTCAACAAGTTAGGTCATTCCAATGGTACAATAATTTCTATTTTTCTAAAATCAATGTTATCTCAAAGTCCTACTTTGATGAATGAGTCTTCCACTGTAGATGAGAAGCGCAAGAGGCCCGGTGGAGAAGTTTTTTGTTTTGTTTTGGCATGATCAAAAATTCTGAACCAAGTAGGAAGGTAGGATTTGGAGTTGCTAGAGGGCTGTTGAGTTCACTTTAGTGGATCCAATTTGGCTCGGATTACTCGTGCGGTTTCCTGAAAAATACGCGATACAAGGAGGCTTGCATCGCTAATTTGAGGATCAAGCTGGTGTAAATATAAAAGTTGGTCCAAACATGTGTTGTGACAGAAAGTGAAAAAAGACAGACTATTAAGACTCCTCCTGGAGGAACCAGAAGACAGAAGATGTTATTCTAAAGATGGTATGTATATGTACACTTATGGTCACTTTCTTGGGGTTTAGGGTCAAGGGGTTGTTGCTGGTTACTATGTTCAGGTACCCCAACTTGTTATTTGGATGGATACTCTTTCTGGTTAATCATAATAAAAAGTGACGAGCTTTTGAACACGAAATGCAGCACATACCCAAATTCATGCACTGGTTGAAGTACTTGTCTTTCATGCACTACGGCATCAGGCTGCTCTTGCGAATGGCGGTTTGCAAGAACAGGGGGTTCTGCTTGCCATGGCATTTGGCTACCGTCTCTGTGCATACTTCTGCCTTCGCAAGAAAATAAGCATTCGCCATCTTTGATAACAAGATGTAATCAAGAAAATTACAAAAGAAGTTCACACAGCCAAATGCATAAACCACAAAAAACATTTGTTGTTTTAGTACTGAGACATCATAATCCTAGACAGAATAAAAGCTTTAGACATCCTACAAACAATAATTTGAAACAAAAACAAAACTCTATGATATCTCAGAGTGAGTATAAAAAGGAGAAACTATATGAAATTATCATAACTCTACGTTCAGTGTTAACATTATCAATATTCAAGAGAGAAGAGATTATATGTTTAAATTGAGTCATAAATAAGGATACATAGATCAATTATATGTTCTAATATAGTTTGATATATGAAATTTGTTAATAATATTAATAACACCGCAAGAGACATCATCACCTACCTAGTACATTATGATTGTAACCACCATTAGACACATTCCCCAGCTTTAAGCTTCTTCCATTTATAAGCAGCTTCAAGAATCTTAAGATTCGTCGTCTGTGATTCTTCCGGAAACAAATAATCAATGTATTCTTCATACCTGCCAAATATTCAAACAACATTTTCACATTAAGCACTTTAGCATTCGAATTCTCACATTCCAAGGATAACAAAACGGGAAGTTATATGTATGTAATGCGTACTCTGTAGAACCGTCTTCTCTACTGGTTAGCTTTCTCTTCTTGAGCTTCTTCGGGAGCTTCGATTGAACGACACTAACATCCCCGAGCTCACATAAGCCTGTCTCCATGTTAAGCCAATCCTCCAAAAGCGTAGCACGCTCTTCTTTCAGCTCCGGTGTGGTGTCTTTGTAGTATGTGTTGGCTCTATCGAAGATCGCTGAGTAGAAGAAATAAATAATAAACAAAAAAACAGTTAAAAAATGTCACAAGGAACCATCAAAACTCATAATATAACATGTAGCGTCAAACCTCTGGCGCGTCTGATGCAGTCTTCTTTGCGTTCAATAGCATCTTCTTCTTCCTCTGCCTCGTCTTCTTTGTGTTCCGCAGCAGAAGCTTCAAACTTTGCAAAGCTAACCCACACCTTGCAATGCTTTGTACGGTCCAAGAGTCGCTCATATAAAGCCCGTGTCCTCTCTAATTCCCCTTGCGATATCTCAAAATCAATGTACGTCTGCCACAAACAATATATAGAGAATTTAATGATCCAATCGGTTCAAAAGTCTGAGAAATATTTATGGATGCATTAGACTGTAAAATTTTACCTTCCAAAGCAGCTCAGGCATGTCTAGAGCAGGCTGAGATATTGCAAGTTCAAAGATAGCTCTAGCTCGTTCTGTTTCAGCAAGAGAAATCTCAAACTCAGCATATTTTCTCCAAGCATAGCAATTCTCAGGAGACCATTCAAGAAACCGCTCGTATAATTTTCTACATCTATCGATGTTTCCCAACTGTAGTTCAATCTCAATGTATTTCTTGAATATCTGTTTTGCAGATAACAAGAATGTTAAGTAACAAACACATGAGCAAAAATGTAAACCATTTCCAGATTACGAGTCGTCAGGCTTACCTTATCTTTTGGAGCTTTCCCAATCGCATTTCCTAATATTTGCCGTGCGCCCGTAAGATTCAATTGCCTGATTTCATATTCTGCAGCCAGCAACCATATTTTGGCAAAAGAAAATTTGGTGTGTGGGATAAGCTTGAGGCATTCTCTGTAATGTTTGCAAAAACAACAGTAAGTCTAATCCGCCACAAGCGATGAATATAACTTCAAAAGTTTCAGAATACCTGTAAACATCTCGTGTACGCTCCACATCTTCAGTTTCAATCTCTTCATACAAAGCATAATTAATCCTACACCAATTAGTCACATCAGTTTGCTAAAGAACCATGTATGACACAAAAGAAAAACAACAAAAGCTTTCCACTCACCAAAGATAAATGTATCTTTGCCAGAATCGTTTCTCTTGGGCAGGTGGAACATTAGCAATAGCCCTCTCATAGATTTCTCTTATCCTATCTTTGTTCCCAACACTCTCTTCCAACCTAACATAATCGAACCACGAGTCATAGTTCAAAGGGTTTTTACTCACTTCATCTTCATACTGAAACCTCTTCTTCCCAACAATAGCATCCTCAATACCTTCCTTATCACCATACTGTTTCTCAAACGCCAAATACTTCTTGTACAAATCCTCAGCTCTTCCTTTAGGAATATGATCAAGAGCAAACTTGTAGATAAACCTAGCCCGCTCTACTTCCTTGCATCGCTCTTCGAATTCAGCAAACGCTACAAAGAGAATCTCAGCTTCTTCATCGTTTGCAAGCTCGTCCGCGGCCCGATTATAAACCTCCCTAGCAAGCTTAACTTGACCACCACGCTTCATCTCAAACTTTGCATATCGAATAAAAGCAGATACTTTCGGATGACAAAGAACAAACCTCTCGTATATCGATCTCGCACGTTCGATTTCGTTATACTTAAGTTCGAATTTAATAAAACAGAGCCAAGCTTTTTGATCCGGTGACCAATTCATCCACCGCTCGAAGATCTGTCTAGCTCCGGCGATATTCCCAAGTTTCTCCTCCATGTAACTATACTTGTACCAAAGCTGGTCTACTCGAGGGAGAAGCGTAACGGAACGATCCCAAACGTTCCTTGCATTGTTGACAAACTTGTTCTTCATCTCAAACTCAGCGTACTTGACCCAAAGCGTATGGTTCCTGTAATCTCCTTCTAAAGCTCGTTCCCACACGCTCCGAGCACGCGCGTAATCCATTTGCGACTCTTCCCACTGCGCATACTTGACCCAAACTTGGATGTTCCATCTCGCTCGACGGATCTTGTCCTCAAACTCCTTCCGACGTCGGAGTCTGTAATCGGAAAGCTCAGTAGAATCAGTGATTTTCTGCTTAGGTGGACGGATCTCAGCCTCTTGCCTCTCTCTAGCTTCTCTTAGAATCTGCTCTGCGGTGATTTGCACCGGGGCCGGAGTCTTGTTCTTGACCCGTGTCGTCCGTGGAAGCTTTACTTCCGCATCTTTCCCGGTCATATAACCAAAGCTACGGTCGCCGGAGGCCATGAGATCTCAGTTTTGCTTTTTTAGGGTTTCTAGATTTTGGAAATGAGAGAAGAAAATGATTGAACGAGAACACAGCGTAACATACACGCACAAACGGAATGGGTTATTAATGGGCCTCAATAAGTTAGGCTCATGATATCACAATCTTGGCCCAATTTAAATCTACTTGTGCAATTCAGAAAAATATTCTAAAAAATCCCAAAAACCCAAAACTAGAGTAAAGAGTAAAAGACCTTGCGCAGCAAACTAGGGTAGTGTGTGGGAGGATGAATCATAATCAACTAATTGAATATTTTCCAAATCATTTTTTTTTTTTGTTGTCAACAAAATTTTTCCAAGCCATTTGAACTGCTCTGAACAAAGAAGTTTAGTTCTTCCTAAACTTGGTTTATGGTTATAATTTATAATTTAGAACAACTGAAGTACTATTTTATCAAAACCATCTTTCAGCAATTGTTTCGTCTTTAATAGATCTAGAAGGTTAACTCATCTCATTTCTTTTCTCACATGAATGAAAAATATATGAATACATATATAAAATAACTAACATTTTTTTAATGACATACTAGATAAGATATATATTCAAAAAAAAAAAAAATAGAAATGCAAAAATGAACATAACTTATTGGAAACAAATTTTAATGAAGTTGTAACTTAATTCCATTCTTTACTTTTCAAAGTCTCGAAAATGTAAAGGTCATGTAAATTGTTCAGAAATTTAAAAGATATGAAATGAGAAACTTAGATAATTAATAATTCTTTATTATATTAATATTCATCCATAGCACCATAACACTCAATCTTCAATATCTTCTAAATATGCAAAATCAAACAAAAACGTTTTTAGCAATTCTTACAAGAAAAGCAAAAACATAAACTTTTTTTTATCAAAAAGAAAAAAAAACTCACAAGATAATAGATTGCACCATTTTGGAGAGGTTGATAAGTAACACCAAATTTATCTATAAGAATAGGCTAGCCAAACGAGTTGATAAAAACGGCATCATTTCCAAAAGCTGCTTTAACGTTGAACAATCCGAGCACTACTTCGAAAGACATGTCGTTAATAAACACCGTCATTCTCACAAGAGAAACACAATCTCTGGCGTCTTCACCACCGAATCATATATATGAAAGTAGCTGAACTCTCTCCAGCTATATGACATGTCAGCACCTGAGTGAATGACAAGTGTCAACAAAAAATTTCCTTTATTAATTAGGTGATGCTCGATGACGCTTTATTTTCCATTTTATGTATCGTGTACGCGTTTTGCTAGGTTAAACTAAAGACTAAGAGATTTCCAAACTAAAAGTTGTCCTCCTTTCCTCTGATCTCCTTCTCAAGGTCGAAGATCAATAATCAAGGTATGTTCGCGGCGTCCATCTTCACCACTTCCATAGTAACATATGGTGCCATTGATTGCCGATAAGGTAGAAAACAACAAAATTCGACAATGTTTATACTTAATCTGTTTCAGTGTTTAATTTGTTTAGTTTAGGATTCTAACAGTAGGTTTAGGTGAATTGGGTGTTGCCTAGGTTTCGGATGAAACTATGACGCCTTCGATGATGATATTCGTCCAACTGTCTATACTTTGCCTTGGTTCTTCTCTTTTTGTCCACGTTTGATTTTGTCAATAATGTTGACTCAATTTAAAAAAGTGTTATTGGGTTTTTCAGTGATTGCGTTCATATTATTTTGGTTGTTTTGCAGAAGCCACATGCATGAAAATATGAAGAAGGGGATTCTATATCAAAATTAACGACCATTATCGAGGTATGGTTCTATTTGTCTATTGGCTGTTAAATGATAACATTGTTGTTAGAAACGAACCCACGGCCCGATTATCCATGCGAACAAACTTAAGCTGAAGCGTTTTCAGAAGCGTCCCTCCCTCTTTGTCTTCTCTATCAGATTCAAAGTTTAGAAACGTAAGGATTTTCAGTACCGTCTCTTCTCTTATATATTTAACCCTGCATTTGTTTTCGTTTTGCTTGACATTCGTACTCAATCTCAATCAGATTTGGCGACTCTCTGTTTCATTTACCTTCGTTCCACGTTCAAACCGTTTTCGCCCAAATGATTATTTAAAAAAATTTATCTTCTTATTCGACTTTTTCCCCGCTATTGTATATCCTCATATCAGCTTCAAAAGCAATTAATCAAACATCTCAACGTTATTTTAGTAGATTTCAACAAAATTTTGGCTACTATTAATGTTTTTTGGATGCTCACATATAGGAGTTTTGTTTGATAATTAAGTTTTGGCTAATGTACAAACACTTCTGCATCGTGTTATTATTTGTGCACAACAAATCTCTCCTTCTAATTCATAATGTAGTTTTGCTTTGTGTTATGCTACAGCTCCTTAGAAAATACACAAGGTTTTGTATTTCATAGTGACACTGGCTTTTGAGGACTTGAAGCCAACAATCTGTGTATGAGAATAGTATCAAATAGGGAAGATGAAATCTAACGATCAATTCCTAGAATACTCTTCCAACTCACTCACAGGTAGCCCAGAAGTTTGAATGGCTTTTGGAGTAGTTATTTTTGTGGCTGTTTTTTTCTGTAAGTTATTCGATCTGTTAAATTTTTAAACTTTGTAAAGATCTTTAAAAACAAGTGTCTTAACGTTCTTCATGTCGTCTATGAATGTTTGAGCAGTTAGAAAGAAAAAGAACAAGAATTAGGAGTTCATATCTTCAAAAATGAGTAAGATTTTTATCAATTTCTTTAAGTCGATACAAATACCGGCAAAGTAGTTAGAAAAATGTCAGGTGACACAATTTAACATTGATAATATTAATCTTTTTTGCTGAAATGATGACATTTTTGGCAGGTGGGAAAGCTATACAACTTTTATCAACTGCCAGAGGCTTTGTGATCGCTTCCATAAGAGGATGGCTTTGAGAGTTTATGCTTTTCTACCTACATTGATAACGTCAAACATTTTGGCATTTCATAGGGTAACCTCTTTAGAAATCTCTTACTTTCGTAACTGTTAAGCTTTTTGTGGAGTTCTCCTTGTGCCTAATGAATCTGTCGGGGAAATGCTGAAAAGGCAAAAAGAATATTGTTTGAGCAGTGTGTACTTTCAAGCTAAAACTGGATTTGAAATGAACTTGACAGATTTTCAGCTTCTAACCCTAAAATTGTTCTTCAAGTTGTGATTGTCACTGTCTTGGTGTGCCTTATTCGTTGTTTGCAAGTTTATGTACAAGTCACGCCATCTGGTGCTGTATATTTTTACTGATCTTTTTCTTTTCATTAATTGTTTTATTGTTTCAATGTTGTTTCTTTCCTTTCTAATAGTCTATAGTTAGCGTTTTTCCAGTAATTTAGCACTTTAGAAATTTCATAGCGTAGTAAAGAATAGCAGAAGTTGGCAATGATTCTAACGTGTACTGATTTTTTAGTTCTTTAACATGTGTAATTGTAAGTCTAATAGAAACCCATCTAATCTTCTCAGCTTTCATCTCTTTTGCTAAGTGATCATGGTCACTCATGGCAATCAAAATCTCTAATTGTTAATTTGTTCATGATCGATTTTCCTTATGACATTCAAAATGTTATAAAACAATAAAATACGTATCCAAAAAAATAACGTGGATTTTCTGTTTTGCCAACAAAAAATCTAAACTATTGTAAGTTCTAAACTTTAGGTCTACTCAATTGCTGTGCCCTATATTTTAGTTTAAAACCCCAAAAAAACTACATCCTGACCACATTAGAAAGCGAGAGATTGAATAGATCGCTGGAGCGGGCCTGCGGGTGCAGGTGTGAAGGTGGAGTTGGTGTGATCTAAGTCAAAAGACAACCCTTTTTTTTGATAACCCAATGTCCAGACCACACAGTGATCCGACTAGCCCACTGGGCCTAAGCCCGCGTGCCTGGGGTTTTTAAGCCTCCACTTAAGGGCCCCCCGGAACTGGTGGTCTGGGACGCTGCGCCCCGCAGGTAAATTGCGCAGTGGCCAAGTGGAGATCTAGCAATTGCGCGCTTGCGGGGAATCGATCCCTGGCCTAGACCAACAGGGCAACTCCTCCACAAGTGGCAACCACTAGACCAAGAACACTTGGTTTCAAAAGACAACCCTTCCGTCGGCTTTTCGTAGCTCTCCCCCACATGTAAGATGTTCCAATAGGAAAAATAGAAGTTCGAGTTGAAGTAAACTTCTTTCTAACCAAAACGTATATTGCTTAAATCATAGACATAATTAAAATTAGTGAAGACGAAACCCGCTTTCAAACCAATACTTATATTGCTTAAATTATAGACATAATTAAAAATTAGTAAAGACGAAAGCCCGCTCGTAGAGCGGGTACTCACCTAGTAATACTAAATCTCGTTCTTTTTGTGATCAATAGAATACAATTTGGTGATTAATGTTAGTCAAAATAATTAAATAAAATTAATTTACCCCAAATAATTATACAGTAAATGGTCAAAACTAATGACCAAAACGTCATGTTGTTTGTGCTTTTACTATATGCAGCATATATTTTTACTATACGCAGAATTATTACAATATTACTCTTGAAACATTGTTACTTATACCATCAAAGCTGGTATTTAATTATTAACTAACTAGATTTATTCGTCTATGCATTGGGCGAGATATCAAATTTAAGCTGGTAACAGTACGGATTGTTAAAAATAATGATAGTCATTTGAATTTCAAAAACTATTTATATTCATATTTATTTTACAAAGTAATATATGACATAGAAATTATCAAAAATATTTGGTATGTACCACATCATAATAAAAGTTATATAAGATGATTCGATTTCGGTAGCCATCCACGACCTTTTATCCAGAAAATAATTTATTCCATTAAATCTTGTTAGTATATTTTTGAACAACAATTTATGAAAAATTATAAACGAAATATTCATGTCGTTTCAATAGTATACCGTCCCATATTAATATCTTTTATAAATATTTATTATGTTTAAACTTCTTATAAATTCTTATAAAGTTCACATATTTATAATATTTGAAACTTATTTAAAATGTTTTTAAAGCTTAACTTTTTAAAAAGTTTAAATAATTATAATATTAAACTTTCAATAAAGTTTAAATATTTATAATATTTTGAAACTTTTTTAAAAGTTTCAATTATTTAAAATAAAGAACACTATTTTTTGTATATATAGGTAATTAAAAAACACTTTTTTTTTTTAACGGCAAATTCGTATATAATAGTGTTTTTTTTTAATTAAAACACTATTATACAAGTGTTATAGACCGTAATTTTAAATCAAACGAAATTATTCAATTCACAAATCAATAGTTTCATTTTCATAAATTCAAAATAACAATTCAACTCAAGCCCATTATTCAAAATATTTGGTTGACTACTATTCAATTAGGCCTACGGGCCTTAGAAAACAATAAATGGGCCTAAAATATTTTAAACACCATCGAAACAATGGATAGATCTCAACTTTAAAAAGCGTTCAAAAATATAAACAAACATCAATCTCTCGCCGTCAGGTTACAATCTATCGCCACCGCTAAGACCACCGTCTCCTCCGCAATCTTCATAACCAAAACAACCCTAATACCTGGTAAGCTCGATTTTCTAATCAATTCACTCTCCTATGATGTCGATCTGTTTCTACTCAAGTTCAATCTCTTGCGAATCCGTTCTTTGTTCTGAGATTAGGGTTTCGCGATTTGTGTTCTAGGGTTTCAAGATCCCTAATATCTGATAATCTGGTAATTGCGAAATTATTGATCTTTGTTCTTTTGATTTGAGTTTAGCAATTATTGAGATTTCTTTGAAGTTGAATACTTTTCTCTCAATCTAGTAATTGATCATTACAAAAGTATTGATTTTTATGTTGTGATTCATTGGTTTTGTGGCAAAGGTGCTTAAACAATGGGGAAGAGGAAATCAAGAGCAAAGCCTGCTCCTACGAAGCGAATGGATAAGCTTGACACAATCTTTAGTTGTCCTTTCTGCAATCACGGCTCGAGTGTCGAATGCATAATGTAAGATGATTAACAATATGTGAATGAATGAAAACAATTGGAATCATTCACTGATAACTTTGTTTGTTTTTCCAGTGATATGAAGCATCTGATTGGTAAAGCAGCTTGTAGAATCTGTGAAGAAAGCTTTAGTACTACTATCACAGGTTTTTTTCCATCTTTCAAGTCGATATAGAATTGGGTTTTGTCGTTTACATATCTGATCATTCTTTTTCTGTTCTGTTTCTTGTAGCTTTGACTGAAGCTATAGACATGTAAGTACAACAAATCTATATCAACATTATGTTTTCGCTTTTGTTTCACACTTTTGTTTCTCTAAATATATCTGGTTTGTTCAAAATGAATGCAGTTATAGCGAATGGATCGATGAGTGCGAGAGGGTTAATACCGCGGAAGATGATGTTGTGCAAGAAGAAGAAGAAGAAGAAGAAGTAGAAGAAGAAGAAGAGGAAGAAGAGGATGATGAAGATGACCGTGTCTCTGTCAAAAGGAAGTATAATTTCTGAGACGAGTCTTTTATCGAAAATCATGTAAGTCGTCTTAGAGTTATCTGCCTTATGTTGTAATATCTATCTGATGAAATTACAAGAACAATCTTTAGTGTTTTCTCAGTGTCTGATAGAGAAACATAAAAATAACAGTGTATGATGATGGATTTGTAAGTGGATTAAGGCTTTGCTTAATTGGTTCCAATCGGTACATTTATTACAACAACCAAATAAAAACTTAAATGTCTTTCCTTACATTTGCTGATTTGATTCTTTCTGTTCTACATTTGCTGATTGCGTAACATCAGCTCTGTACTCATAAAATCTAATTACAACCAAGAAGAGGATGAAGTTAACCAAATTAAGTACCGCGAAGAACATGTAATATTTATCCAACCTAGACTCATTCAAGTTGTTTTGAATCCAACCTCTTCCCTGCTTTTTTGTTATCTGAGACACGGACGAAAGCAAAAAACTGCTCAGGAAATTCCCGACTGCCATACTTGTGCTCGTATATGATGTCCCGAGGCTTTTCATACTCTCTGGTGCTTGATCGTAGAAGAACTCGAGCTTTGCTATTTCTATGAAAGCATCAGCCAAACCCATTAGCACATACTGTGGAAGCAATGTGAAAATGGTCAAGGGAATTGGTACAGCGGTCTGGTGGTTTAGCCCTTGTTCAGCAGCGACCTTGAGCCTATACCGTTCGGTTATGGACGCTATGATCATGATTAGGATGTGAAGGATCATACCTATTCCCATTCGCTGGAGCAATGTGATACCTCTTGGATTTCCGGTTAGTTTTCTCATGAGTTTAACGAAGACACGGTCGTATATGACTATAGAGACGAGCATTGAGAGTGTTGTGAAGCCTAAGAGACTTGCGGGTGGGATGCTGAAGTTGTTTGTGAGACGACGGTCGAGGGTCGTTCCTTGTTTGATGAACAAAGTCATTATTTGAGCAAGCATCATGCTTGGGACGAATGTTACGAAGAGGACAGGTAACATTTTTAGCATCTGTTTTGTTTCTTCGACTTCTGTGATAGTACAGAGACTCCATTTATGGGTTGATCCGGTTTTGAGTGAAGCTCGATCTAAGAATCTGCAACACAGTTAAATCTTAGGTACATTATGATATAAAACAAAAACACCAAGAATAAAAAAAATTAAACAAACTGAACCAAAAAATCGAACGTTCACTCTAATAGGATTTTAATCATTTACCTAAGACTTAGAGTAGAATGGATTGAGAAAGCCCTTTTGCTTGCATATTCCATTGGCGAAAGCTCATAGAAGCACGTCGAATCACGGGGCATAGGCTCGCGGGCTTTGCGAAGTGAAGCCACAATGACTCTAGCCATCTTGGTGAATGGGCTTCCTGTTGGGAGTTTATGGCGGTATAACCGAGTTCCCAACAAGAATATGAAAATGGAAAAAGCAAGTCCCAAAGTTGAAAGCCCATAACCTACGGCCCAACCCACATTATCTTGAACATAGACAAGAACAGTTGTAGCAAAGAAAGTACCAAAGAAGATACTAAACATCCACCAATTGAAGAATGAATGTTTATGAATCTTCTCCTTTGGGTCGAATTCATCGAATTGATCAGCTCCTATTGTAGAAATGTTCGGTTTCGTACCGCCTGTACCAACTGCTAATGTGTATAACGCTCCAAAGAATACCGCTAATTGTAAAACCGAAGCTTTTTCGCAGTTTTCAACATTAGCCGTAGAACATTTCGGTGGTTTAAGTCCCGGTAGAGATACTGATAACGTCAGTAATGCCATTCCCTGTAATGTTATGTCGTATATTTAACACAAAAACTCATTCTAAATTCTTTACTATTGATGTGGTTATAAGAATTTGTATGTAAGGTAAAGAAAGATCTTTATAAAAAGTATAAATACCAATAAATAGATAGCGGAAGAGATGACGAAAGTGATGTAGCGACCGAGATGCGCATCGGCAACATAAGCACCCAAGATTGGAGTGAGCCAGCTAGTCCCAACCCAATTGGTCACATTGTTCGACGACTTGACCGTGCCTTGGTGCAATTTGGTAGTCATGTAGATCACTAGGTTGCTTGATATTCCATAATACGCCATTCTTTCAAACACCTCGTAAACTAATCACATCAAGATTCAAAATATCAATCAACTCTTGATCATATACACAAAAATAACTGAAACTAGAGAATTGTTTTTTTACAAAAGATGATATATACCAACGACGAAGGAACAAGCTTTCCAACGGCCTGTTTGGGATCTTCGGACGCGATTTCCTCGAAGATCAACTGTTCCATCTTTTGTATAATCATCTCCTACCTCTTCTACTGTCATTTTCTCTCTTGTTCAATATAGTTTATACGGATCTTTGTTTGAAGAGAGTTGGTACTTTGGTCACATAATATTAATATATATATATGTTATTTAAATGAGCTGTCTTGCCATTTCATCACCATTTAAAAAGTAAGAGTTGAAATTGTTTAAATTTTAATTAATTACTATAAACAATTTCAACTCTTATAGACAAAAACTGGTCAAATATACAATTTATAATCATTATCGTTATCATCACAGCTGTAATACCAAGATAAGCTTGCTTCATAGAAATGACACCTCTTCAACCATTTTTGTAATATTTCATATGATAAAAGTAATTTTAGTATTGAAAATCTATCGTGAGTTTTCTACATACAGTATATAATGCTGCCACATCATGAAATGAAAATATTTATTTCTATAATAACACATAATACCAAAATGAGAATTATTTACAGATGGTGGCAACTGGCAGCATAACATTTTCTTACTAAATTAATTATATTTATTTTTAGAATATTCTTCTCAAATTCTTAATTGTTTGGAAAATTTTCAAAATAAATGGAAGGAATATCACCAGTAAGCTGGAGCAAACATTTCTTAATTTGTTTTTTTTTTATTGGGCGACATGTGTTTTGTTGCTGTTCTTTGAAATGTGTAAGCCTGATTCTGTTTTCTTACTCATGGTTTTGTATTGTTTTGTTTTGTATTGTAAAAAGTAAATAATGAAAGTTACTGAAATTAAAATGGTGATATAGAAAAAAAACTATATTATTTATTATTTGTCATTCAGTCTCTTTCATTTCCTCCTCTTTCACACCCACTGAATCAGTAACCTCAGCTCTATAAACATAAAACTTAACCACGACCAAGAACAAGACGAAGTTAACCAGATTAAGTACCGCAAAGAACAAGTAGTAATAATCCAACCTAGACTCGTTGAGATTGTTCAAAATCCATCCTCTTCCTCGTTTCTTTGTTATCTCTGATACCGTCGACAACAAGAAACTGCTCATGAAATTCCCGATCGCTAAACTCGTTGTCGAATATGATGTCCCGAGGCTTTTCATGCTCTCGGGAGCTTGATCGTAGAAGAATTCGAGCTTTGCAACTTCTAAGAACGAATCAGCCATACCCATTAGGACGAATTGTGGAAGTAAAGCAAAGATGGTTAATGGTAGTTTTACTCCGGTTTGGTGGATGAGACCATGATCAGCAGCGACTTTGAGTCTATACCTATTACAAAATTACCAAATAAAGAAGTTTAAGGAAACTTGCAACACAAGAAATAATTTGATATTTTTCGTCATTAAGAATACCTTTCAGTGACAGATGCAACGATCATGATGAGGATATGAAAGATAAGACCAATTCCCATTCGTTGAAGCAAAGTAATGCCTCTTGGATTTCCAGTGAATTTTCGGGTTATCTTGACGAAGACTCGATCGTATAAGACTATCGAAATGAGCATTGAGAGTGTGACGAAAGCGGAGAGACTCGCTGGTGGGATGCTGAAAGATCCAGTGACCTTTCTGTCTAAAGTGGTTCCTTGTTTAACAAACAATGTGTTGATTTGAGCAAGCATCATACTTGGGACGAAAGTTATGAACAAGACTGGTAACATTCTCAGCATTTGTTTTGTTTCTTCAACTTCTGTTGTTGTACAAAGATTCCATTTATGAGTTGTTCCGGTTTTGAGTGAAGCTCTGTCTAAGAATCTGCACCATAGTTACATGTTAGGTACTTTATGATATACTTAGGATATGCTAGGTACCTAAACTGAGACCAAACTAATATACACATTACCGTAAACTTGGAGTGGGTTGGATCGGAAAGGCGCCTTTCCGTTCATATTCAAGTGAAGGCAGCTCGTGGAAGCTTGTGTTGTCATGCGTCATCGGCGCATTGGCTTTGCGAAATGATGCCACGATGACTCGAGCCATCTTGGTGAAAGGACTTCCAGTGGGAAGTTTATGACGATAAAACGGAGTACCCAACAAGAAAATGGTAATGGAAATAGCCAGACCTAATGTTGGAAGTCCATACCCCAAGGTCCAACCAACATTATCTTGAACATAGACAAGAACAGTGTTGGCAAAGAGAGTACCAAAGAAGATACTAAACATCCACCAGTTGAAGAATGATAGTTTTTGAGTCTTCTCCTTTGGGTCGAATACATCGAATTGATCAGCTCCTATGGTTGATATGTTCGGTTTTGTTCCGCCTGTACCGATTGCTAAGGTGTATAACGCTCCAAAGAAAACCGCTAATTGTAAAACCGAAGCTTTTTTGCAGTCTTCGACATTAGTCGTGGAACATTCTGGTGGCTTAATTCCCGGTATAGTTACTGATAATGTTAACACCATCATCCCCTGTGCATATGTGAAAAAATTCTCATTTTAATTATTGAACTATTGTTTATGCAAGTTGTGAGTGTTAAAAGTGTAAATTAATGTAAGTAGTACATGCCTACAACTTGCAATATCAAAAACATTAAGTAGTTTAGTACCATTTGAAACTCTTATTATAAAAGAAAAAAAATCGAATCTTAAACCGACTTTCACACATGTAATGGATAAGTTTTCGAATATTTTCATTTATTTTATGTTTTGTTCCGATCCACAATTTTTCTCGTGTGTAGAAAAACTTTCTAAGCTTTCGATCGAGACAAAAAGACTTAATAAGAAATAATGATTTTTTTCCAAAGTCAACTGTTGGTCAAATTACATGTATAGTTCCAAAAAAAATCCACATTTTTCTCGAAGAAAAGTATTGCACGCTTATAATGTAAGAACAAAAAATTTGGAATGATGATTTATTATTGACTTTAGAGTGGAATTTAGATCGGTCGTTGTCTTATCTCTTATCAGTCTTGTTGACTCGCTAATTTTTCTTCAGATCACTTATCTAAAACTTATATTGAATATATCAAAGATCGAATTCTACAACCTTTTTAGGCATAATAAACATTGAAACTTTTTTATACGAAAATCAGCATTATAACAACTTCACTCTTGAAATTTTAACTGAGAATAGAAACTCTAATGGCTATATCATGCATGAGGCTCATTGATTATTTTGATGCTTACACCTTGTATTTATATGAACCTTCATGTCGTTAGTTCTAATTTCTAAATTATGACACATATACAATGTGAAGAGAGAGTGTTACTTCGTTAAAAATATGCTCATATAAAAAAAAAAAAAAAAAAAAAAAAAATGCTCATACGATAGACAAAAAAAACGTAATCATGAATCATCACGTTTTTCGGCTCCCATGCTTAGATTCACGTTTTTGGGCATACTTTACCTAATTTTAGTTATATATGTCGTCACGACTGTTATATGCAGGACTGGTTATATGTTAATAATTAACATACATATATATGTACAAATATAGTTTTAAATCTTTAACATTCTCCGACTAACTAGAAACTTTAAACAAACAAAAATTTTTTTATAGTAATGCAGTCGATAACGTGATATCATCAGAAAATGACATCAGTGTCTTTGTATCGACCGATTTAAATAGCAATACGTATAGATAAATTAATTGTTTTGAATGGTGTACGTTTTTATGTTTTTATCGATTATAGGAATCAGAAATAAACGTACCGAGAAATAGATAGCACAAGAGATGACGAAAGTGATGTAGCGACCGAGAAGAGCGTCTCCAACATAAGCACCCAAGATTGGAGTGAGCCAACTAGTCCCAACCCAATTGGTCACATTGTTCGACGACTCGACCGTTCCTTGGTGCAATTTGGTAGTCATGTATATCACTAGGTTGCTTGATATCCCATAATAAGCCATCCGTTCAAACACCTCGTACACTTATCATAAAATAACATTTTCATTAATTGATGGAAGAAAAAATGAACAAAATAGTGAGAGTATATAACAAAAAAAAAAAAAAAAAAAAAAAACAGAACAAAAAATTTAATGTGGAATATATATAATATTTTCGTATAATTTTCTGTACTGTTTATTTATTTAATGTCGAAAGAAAATTTAAAACTAGAAAAAAATAAAAAATTATATATACATAAATATAAATATATGAAACAATGGATATGAATTATTAATTTTCCTTCGACGATTATTTTTGAGTTAATATTCTTTTTAATCACTAGCGATCGGCCTAGTGTTAAATCTTTGCAGGCTTTTTAAGTTTTATATGAAAATAAAATATTTATGACCTCAAATTTATATTATCTGTTCTTAACTAGGATAAGATACGTCACAAACTTTTACTTTCTCTCGTCACCATTGAAAAGTTTCCAAGACTCATGGCAACTTTTAAGTTATACGATAATCTTAAAAACTTCGAAAAAAAAAACTGTTAATCATCAACGAATAACTAGTGTGATTAATCAAATTAATTGTAGAGTCAAACTCTATGATAAAGAATATAAAATATAAAGAAACCGAAATTAGTGAAAGAATAAATACCAACGACGAAAGAGCAAGCTTTCCAACGACCTCTAATGGATCTTCGAACAGGATTGCCTTGAAAATCAACTGTTCCATCTTTTGTATAATCGTCTCCTACCTCTTCTACTGTCATTTTTCCTCTCTATCTTCTTTCTTTCTTTTTGTTTCTCTCTCTATTTGTTTGGTAGTTTCTGTATTTTTTTTAATAGAGAGTCGGCACTTTTGTCTCATATATATACAAATTAAGTAGATGATGGGTCACATGAATAATGCGAATCTTTCAACGTAACACTTATAGTTACTGCCTGAGAGTGAAACTTATTAAATTATTCATTAATCGTCCAATAGAGTTTAAAAAATCATACTTACCTTTCTGTATACTAACATATGTACGAAGTATAAGTTTTCAAGCCCACGCAATCGTGTTCTAATGACAGTTAAGAATTGAATTTTTTTTGGAAAAAACTAATCTAGATTCGATCTATTTTAGAAAAAAAAAACACATCTATATAAGAAATTTGGATTTGGTCCAAACAGTTTATCTGATAGTCCAATAACAGGTGATCTGGCTATCTCCTAAATAATATTCGGAAAACATTTTAAAAATGGTGGTCCTTTAAAGAAAAATTCACTTTAAAGCACTTCGCTGCGTTTTTACTGGAACTAATCAGATCAGCCGATATAATTTATCAAAAAAAAATTATAAATTTTCTAAGATTAGGAAAAAAAAACTTTGCCATGATTAGAAAATAATTACCGTACTAGCTTATTGTCACGATTTTTCTTTTTCTACACCTCGCTCAATTATATATAGGGAAAGTTACTAGATTGACCCAAATAATGACTTTAATTACTAGAATGTCTCATAAAATTTGGGGGTTAGACTGGTTATTTTCATGACGATAATACCCTTGCTCTCTTTGTTAGGAAAAAAAAGAAGTCAATTTTGCCCTCAAATTTTTTCGAAAAACGTGGCAAAAAAGTATAGGATTTTTTTTTGGTTTTTTAAAAGTCTGCTGCATTCGTTATGACAGATTTATTTTAAATGGCAGACTTATTTATCAACGACAGATTTTATGTGACAGATTTTTTATCTCTGACAGACTTAATTTAACAGGTTGTGACATATATTTATTTTGTTGTAGTTTTTTACCCCACTACAGACTTATTTTTTTATGACACCACAGACTTTCATTACTTTGACAGATTTATTAAAATTAGTGGCAGATTTATGTTCCTAGTGGCCTCAGACTTTTAATTTTCATAAAAATATCTGTCATCAAGTGATAGATTTGTTTTTGGGAAAATAATTACTAGAATGACTTAGTAGTGATAACAGATTTTTTTAATGTTATGACAGTTTTTATTTTTTAAACAAAAAAACTGTCGAGTGATAGCAGATTTGTCATACAAAAAAAAAATTGCTAGATTGACATACAATCGCAAATGAAATATTTCTGTGATGACAGATTTTATTTACATTACGACAGATTTAGGATTAGTTCAAAAAAACCTGTCACATTACGACAGATTTAGTGATGAAAAAAGAAATTGCTGGAATGACTTCATATAGTGATGACAGATATGTTTTACGCAATGACAGATTTTAATTTTTATTCATATTATGACAGATTTTTTATACATATTTGATGACAGACTTTTCATGATGGACTACATGACAGACTTTTTAAACACGACAGACTTTTTTGAAAATAAAATTTTAATCTGCACAATAAGGTAATGACAGACATATTCTTATCACGACAGACTTATTTATAATAGATGGCTCATGTGTGGCTGTCTCCTTGTTAATATATGATAAAGATATTTTTTTCGTTTTTTAATTTATTTTTTTGTTTTAAATTTTTTGTTGTTTTTATTTTTTTTTGTTCTGTATTTTGTTTTTCATTTATATTTTTTTGTCGCTTTGTAATTTTTTTTCTAATTTTTAATTTAATTTAGTTATTATAAGTTAATTATTTTATTTTAATTGAATTGAAAATAAAATGGGTAGTTGTTTTTTATTTTTTTTATTTTTTTAATTTATATATATTTTTTTAATTTTGTATATTTTTCGTCTTTTTTTTTTCAATTTTCGTTTTTTTGGTTTTTAATTTTTTTTTGTATTTTTAAATTTGTTATTTAATTTAATTATTTTATTTTAATAGAACTGAAAATAAAATGGGTATTTGGTCTTTTAACACAAAATTTGTGTTATTCTAGTAAACCACAATATTTGGGTGTTAATCTAGTTATTTTTCTCTAAATTTGAGTCAAACTAGGTAATTTTCAGTTATATATATGAAAATTCACATACAATTGAAAATATATAATACGGGGTGATTGTTTTTGGGCTATATCATAATTTACAGCTTGGAACCAAAACGCATGTCTCGTGGTCGTGGAGTCGTCGTCGCATAGAAAAAAACTAAAGATCAAGGACTCTAAATTTTAAAATAAGAAAATAAATGAGATGATCTAATAAAAAATTAATGTGGAAACTATAAAACTAAAAGTTCCGCATGTTTCATAAAAAACTTCCAAAGCAACAGCCATTTCTATTTTAAACGTTTAAGCTTTTTTAATTTGAACTTTCGCAATAAACCACCAAATAACAATTCAGTAATACTATTTTTAAAAAAAATTAAAAGGAAAAAGACAACTTGTCTAATAGTTAAAAGATTCATTATAGAATGATGGACTAAATTTGAGTCTTCTGATTGATATTTTGAGTGGCAATATACTTGGAGATTGGAGATTGGAGATTCATTAAAAAAAATTCAGGTTTTGGAGATTGGTAAGAGTTTTGGCTTGAAATCTCAGTACATATACTTTAACTTTTTTGGTATATATAGACAATAATTTCATGAAATCTTTAGGTATTTTTCTTCAAGAAACAAATAATGTCATTACTTAATTTTTTCATAAATTTCCATTAGTTTTGGTTTGTGAAGTAAAATCTCATGCCAATCTTCGTTTGCTAAAGCTCTATCCAATCGGCACCGTATTGGTTTTTTATCCCGCCAACCTCGCCAAGACAACCAATCTCCAATATATGGAAATTCCAAAAGACCGCAATTTTGAATCATTAAATTAAAAGGGATAAAAGAAGATGCATGCCTTAATTTACCACCTCTTTTTTCATGATTTCCGGTTAATTCATTAAAATCACCTACTAAAAACCAAGGGTTATCTCGAGTCAAACCGATTCTTGTTAAACGTTCCCAAACTTGTTCTCTATTTTTCGGAACCGGATCTCCGTAAACAAAGGTAAGATTTATTGTCTTACCCTTTACCACAGCTTCAATATCAATTAACCGATTACTTTCATAAATAATTGAAACATTAAAATCATTATTGTAATAAAGAGCTAAACCACCACTATAACCGATAGGATCAACCGTTTTTAAATTTTTGTAACCAAAATGACCGACAAATTTTTCCATAAAATAAGAAGATTGTTTTGTTTCCGAAAGAAATAAAAAATCTGGCCTATGTTGTTTCCATATATCCCGAAGATACCCGATAGTTGCCTTATTTCCGAGTCCTTGGCAATTCCAACTTAAAACTTTCATTTATCAACCTTGTTTTTTGGTGGTTTACCTCCACCCGTTAAGCCCTTCTCCATTCCATGGTACGTCGGGTTATTGCCTTCACTCACTTCATCTTCACCGTCATTAAAATACAAAAAGTTGTAATCTTTTTCCCCAAGCACTAGAAATGCATCTAACCAGATTTGCAAATCCCCAAAAGAATAAAACCGAGAATACAAACTCTTAATTTCTGATTGAAAGAGATCCCCCTTTTTTCTTGTAATCCAGTTACTATCCACCAACTTAGTAAATCCTCGACATTTTAAAACTATTTTTCCTGAAACCTCCACCGTGGCCTCTTCCCTTATTCTGACATCTTCACCGTCAACTTATTCTGCAATTCTTTCGTTGAATATTTACCAATGGTAGCTTCCGACCATTCTCCGGTGGTAGCTACGATTATGGATAAGGTACCACGTGGGAAAAAAAATTTCAGGTTTGACAAGAGATGGATTGGGAAGGAAGGATTACTAGAGGCAATTTCAAATGGTTGGAATTTTGATACTGAGCTAGGAGAAGGAAAATTTGTGAAAAAATTGACTAACTGTAGGCGGGCTATTTCGCAATGGCGGAAAGAATTAACGCCATATGGGCGGCAAACAATTGAAGAAATAAAATCGGAATTACATTTGGCCCAGAGAGATGATAGGAGACCACGAGAAGAGATTACAGAATTAACAATGCGGTTGAAAGAGGCTTACCGAGATGAGGAATTGTATTGGCATCAGAAGAGTAGAAGCTTTTCGATGCAATTAGGGGATAATAACTCAAAGTACTTTCATGCTCTAACAAAACAGAGACGGGCAAGAAATCGAATTACGGGACTACATGATGAAAACGGGATTTGGTCTGCAGAGGATAAAGATATTCAAAATATAGCGGTAACTTATTTTAAGGATCTGTTTACTACAACTAACCCTGAGTCTTTTGAGGAATCCTTGGCAGAAGTTCAACTTCTGATTACGGATCAGGTTAATAATTTTCTAACGGCACCCGCAACGGAGTGTGAAGTGAGAACGGCTCTGTTCATGATGCATCCGGAAAAAGCACCAGGGCCAGATGGTATGACCGCCTTATTTTTTCAAAAGGCTTGGGTTACTATTAAAAAAGATCTTCTTTTTCTAGTTAACTCTTTTTTAGAAGATGGAATTTTTGATAAACGGTTAAATACGACTAATATCTGTTTGATTCCAAAAACGGAAAGACCAACACGGATGACGGAATTGCGGCCTATAAGTCTTTGCAATGTTGGTTATAAAATTATATCGAAGATTCTATGCCAAAGACTTAAGACGGTTTTACCAAAGCTGATTTCGGAGACACAATCGGCTTTTGTAGAAGGACGATTGATTTCGGATAATATTCTCATTGCACAAGAAATGTTTCATGGGTTGAGAACTAACCCGTCATGCAAAGGAAAATTCATGGCTATTAAAACGGATATGAGTTTTTGTGAAAAATGGATTAAATGGATAATGTGGTGTATTACGACAGTCCAATATAGAGTTCTCCTTAATGGACAACCTAGAGGACTAATAGTACCAGAGAGGGGATTACGACAAGGTGACCCGCTCTCGCCTTATTTATTCATCCTCTGCACAGAAGTGCT